TGACGAACGCACTCGCCTCTTTCCGAAGAAGATCGAGTTGGTCACGAATGTGTTTTTGCAAACTTTTTGGGAGGACAAGCTTCTTCTTTCAGCTTACGGAAATTATTAGTGAATACTTCTTGTGACTTACAGAAACGGTGACGATTGGAGTATTGAATTTCTCGTTAACTGGATACATTGCTTGCTTGCGCAGCGAACTCAGCAGTTTATTCGATAACATAGGCTAACCAGTGCCCATGCCCCACCCACTGACCCCGTAGCACAGTCGTGAAAAAACTTGCCCTACCAAACAAGCCGAATAGCGGATCGTGCCCACCAATTAAGGATTTCATTTTGGCCCATAAATATAAACAGGGAGACTATATATGTTGTAGAGTATCCCAGATATAAATCACTTCAAACAAGAGCGAGAACTCCTACTTCTGCCCACCTGAACACTCACATTTTTCTGCTGTTTCACCAAAAATAAAAAAAATAAAAATAAAAATAAAAATATATAAATAACAAAACTAATATCAGGTAAATTAAAGATATTTGTCAGGTGTTTATCTTTAATTTCCAAAGGTACATGTTTCGTTAAATAAATATTACAGTGCGTATTTTCAGTAAAGTTCTTAATTTTTACATGGAAAAAGCACAATTTCCTGAATGACCAATTAGATATTTTGTAAAAATAAAATATTTTTAAAAAATAGTACCAGTTCTTACATAATTGTTCCTTGAAAATTAGAAGTGTCATTGAATATATTTTCCACAAACGATTTCTACCTGCACCTATTTAGAATGAAGGATGTCTTATACATCCTTTCATAAGACTTCGAAATGATGCATCATTATGAAAATACAATCATGTTTATCATCCAAAACTGTTCTTCACAGGATATATCGCTTGTGTGAGATCAGACTATTACCCACGTGGTCAACGTATGGGTATAAAAAAAAGAGAATACTACACGAGGTCTCATTGCGTACGAATTATACGAAACGAGTGTCCTTCCTATGGTATCTGACCGAGCGAAAGCGAGGTCAGATAACATAGGAAGGTCACGAGTTTCGTATAATTCGTATGTAATGAGACCGAGTGTGGTATTTTATTTATTACCCACGTCTTACATGCATTAAATTGACAAAATAGCGTATTTTTGTTCATATTTTGGTTTCAAACCGAAACCGATTTCATAAAGAGTACTGTAGTACAATATTTGCATGACGTAACACTGTAATGACGTCACTGCCTTGGTAACCGACGTCACGATGCATGTCAGTTGTCATCGCCTCGTACAGCCTCCTACAGTAAACTACTCCGTAGCACCGCGTTTCTTGGTTTGCAGTTTCTTCATTCGGCTAACATCACTGGTGGAAACATTGCGATTATGTTTTTCGACGGATATAATGTCTCAGTTCGACTCACAATTAAACAGCGACACGGCAACGTTCGCAATGTTTACATTCCCACAATGTATGTAAGTTGTAGAAACACGTGACCTTCCTATGTTATCTGACCTCGCTTTCGCTCGGTCAGATACCATAGGAAGGACACTCGTTTCGTATAATTCGTATGTAATGAGACCTCATGTAGTATTCTCTATTTATTATACTTATTATATTAGACTCCTATAAGGAGATATCGTTTTGACAGTAGATTTTGTACAATGCCTGACAATGCTATGACGTCATGAACTTGATGACGTCACAATGCTATGACATCGCTGCACTGCAAATCTAATGGCAGTACCGTGTTCAGAGATGTACCTTTTTCATTGAAAACTAATGAAGCGTGATCTTGGGTGATAAATAGAATCTCACCCTCGTGTCTTCTGATATCAAATATGTCAACACTCGTTGATAAAAGTTAAAATATCCTCGGCAAGTCTCTGATATTTGTAACTTTATCAACTCGTGTTGATATAATTGATATCAGAAGACATGTATCATACTATCATCTAGGTAACTACACAAAAGATGAAAATTAACTTTACTACCCAGCCCCCATACTATATAATATGTATATATGTAAAATATAGTATGGGGGCTGGGTAGTAAACCGGGGCTTAGTTTATAGATTTTCTGACCCGTAGTTGGGGCCTATGGACCTTTCAGGGCAAACGTGAGTGAGTGAGTTTAGTTTTACGCCGCACTCAGCAATATTCCAGCGATATGGCGGCGGTCTGTAAATAATCGAGTCTGGACTAGACAATCCAGTGATCAACAGCATGAGCATCGATCTGCGCAATTGGGAACTGATGACATGTGTCAACCAAATCAGCGAGCCTGACCACCCGATCCCGTAAGTCGCCTCTTACGACAAGCATAGTCGCCTTTTGTGGCAAGCATGGGTTGCTGAAGACCTATTCTACCCTGGATCTTCACGGGTGTTCAGGGTAAACGATCCGTGAAGATCCATCTTAGAATTGGTCTTCAGCAACCCATGCTTGTCGTATGAGGCGACTAACGGGGTCGGTCATCGTATCCGAAGTGCGTAGATCGATGCTCATGCTGTTATTCACTGGATTATCTGGTCCAGATTCGATTATTTACAGACTGCTGCCGTAAAGCTGGAATAATGCTGGGTGCGGCGTTTCACAATAACCAAACAAAACAAAACCTCTGAGCAACTCGGCTCATGGAGGTTGCAGTCTGTGGCGGAGATGACATAACTGGATTTGTGAGTGAGGTGGGTTTAACGCCGCTTCTAGCAATATTCCAGCAATATCACGGCGGGGGACACCAGAAATGGGCTTCATAGTACCCATGGGGAATCGAACCCGGCGTGACGAGCTAACACTTTACCTACTGGGCCACCCCCAACCCCCCACTGGATTTGAATGTTACCTTGGTGCCACTACACATGCTGCGCCCCAGGCATAGGGCGATCTGTAACAGTGCCTGTCTGTTGCATACAGGTCCTCAGATTGGATTTTGTCCGAGAACTTGTCTTGGGTTCGTATTACGGTTGCAACAGGCTTGTCTTGGGTTCGTGTTACGGTTGCAACAGACTTGTCTTGGGTTCGTGCTACGGTTGCAACAGATTTGTCTTGGGTTCGTGCTACGGATGCAACAGATTTGTCTTGGGTTCGTGCTACGGATGCAACAGACTTGTCTTAGGTTCGTGCTACGGTTGCAACTGACTGTCCAGCATTACGTCTCCACATGCCACCCTCACGCTGCTGACTTGGGAGTCACATCATACTTTCATTAAACTTGCACTTTTTATGCGTTTTCCCGTTTAGCAATGTCGGTGTGCATGCATTTAAAAGTATGGGTGATCGTCCAGGTGATCAAGTGACTCGCTGTGCGTGATTGTCATTTCACGTTTTGACCAGTTTCAGGCGAGTGGCCAAGATAATGTGCAAACTGCCTACATGTCATAATAAGAAACTAAAACGCATTGCCCCCTCACAATTATTACCAATAATGTTCAGAGTCAAATTTCTAATTTTGTTGAGCGGACCCAGTGATCTTTAAAATAGTCCAGGTTGCTTGTATTTCACACGTTCTTAGCTTATGTTAAATGGGGTTTAACGTCGCACTTAAGAATATTTCGCTCATATGACGACGTGCATGCGTGTGTATGTGTATGTGCGGCTGCTTGTACTAGCCCAGACTTAAGCTGGTTTTATAGTGCTAGCCCACTGAGATACCATGCTGCAGTGAAGCATGAATACCCCACTCAGACACATTATACTGACTCCGAGCTGACCAGTCCTTGTTGTACCCATTAATGCCGAGCGCCAGGCAGGGACCAACAAGTACCATATTTAACGTCTTTTGGTATGACGTGGTCGGGGATCGAACACGCGACCTTCCGCACTCCAGGCGGACGCTCTAACCACTACACCACGGAGGCGGTCCTGTTAACAGGTTCTTAAAATGGTTGCCATGGTATAGATGTAAAAAATGAGACTTAAAAAAAAGTTTTGTTTTTTTAGTATGCTCTGATCAACGATTTTAGACTACAGTTATTATGATCATGTAAAGTTTCAGATTCAAAACATGTGGTTTGAGAGATGTTTAAAATGCAAAAAGTTAACGGCTCGAGCTGACATAGATTAAAGTCAGGTCTACTAGAAAAGGCAAGAATTGAGCGAGTTTAGTTTTACGCCTCACTCAGCAATATTCCAGCTATATGGCAGCGATTTGTAAATCGAGTCTGGACCAGACAATCCAGTGATCAACAGCATGAGCATCGATCTGCGCAATTGGTCAACCAAGTCAGCGAGCCTGACCACCCAATTCCCTTAATCGCCTCTTACGATAAAAAAGCATGGGTTACTGAAGATCAATATTCTAACCCAGACCTTCACCCGTCAGAATTTTATGGATGTCAACTTCTTTATTGTAATAGACATGACATTTGAGGGTATAAGAATATACTCCAAAACATTGTGTCCATCACAATAAAGAAGTTGACATCCATAAATTCCTTGCATTTATGTGTATGTGTATACCATTCAAAGACTATATAACTTGATGTTGTCCCAAGAAGCAGCCATAAAAGTTCTAGCCCAATCACAGATGCCTGTTAATAACTGAATCTACTGGCAAACAAGGATAAGTTGAGCACTGACGTGACAATTGACCCGTATTAGCATGTATGAGTGCCACCCACTGGCCCTTGCCATTGTTAGCGAAGGGGTTCCCAGGTTACCGACTTGCTGCACCGACCATGTGAGAGTCTTATGAGCAAGGCGTGTGCAGCTACACGCGGAATCCATTTCATCGTCATGCACTGCACGTGCACTAGCCTACATCTGCTCTACCTTTCACAAACCAAATGGGTTTGCTCACTGCCGTGCACCACCTACATCTTGTAAACGCGTTCTCTCTGCGCCGGTCCAGCTTATCCTTGTTTGACAGGTCAGGTAAAAAACAGTGGTCGACAGCAAGAGTAGGAAACCATATTGCCACGCTACCTTGATATATATTTACCACCAGTGTTTTCATGACCTTGGTTGCATTTCACACATTCCATTCACAGTAATTCTAACAAAACAAACACAGAACCACAGTAACTATTTTAATGATTCAAAAGAAGGTTTCAACCAACTGAACAGATGTTTAGCACATATCAATAATCTGAACCACAAAACCTCAAATTAGCACCATATTTCATAACCTTACACAACCAAAATGACAGATCTGTTTGTGGCAAATCACTGTCAAATTTAATATCACCGCATTATACTGGAGGGCTGTCAGCAAGGCTGACAATGTACGTTGTTCAACAAAACTGGTATACATTGTCTTTCTGAAAAAATGCCTCGAAAAATATTTACAGAGTGTATCTGCCCATGTTTGAGATCTCAGGTTCTGGTCTGGAACAGACAAACTTGGATCTCATGCATCAAATTGCATCAATGCAGCATTGACAGGAAATCCCACTTTGTAATGAAAGCAGCCTACAATAGACACAGTAGCACTGATATTAAAAACATACTAAAGAGAGTCAACTAGCTTAAACAAATTCTTAGTATTATTTTCAGTAGATTTTAGTGTTGTTACATGAACTATGATTAGCTGGGATTACTTGACTGAACCTTTACTGGACAAGGGCTTTGGGCTAGTGGCTAAAGTCACATTTTGAAAACAGACCTGATTTAGCCTTCAATTAACATGGTGAAAGGAGCAGGGATCAGGTTCCTATGACAATACCTTAAAACAAATTTAATGGTAAAATTCAATAGCATTCAAACTTTTCAGAAGTGTGCAAATCTAAAACAACTTTGGTTGGAAACACCATGTGAAAGATGAGGAAACAAAAGCACTGATTTGTACCTTATTCATCCACATCAGTTTCATATTTTAGAAATAACAGTGAGAATTGGAGTAGTGATGTATTATGACTCACCTTAAAACAGTAAAATCACTTAATATGTTCAGTGCAAATTTGAACCAGCTGAGCATCAAACTCACTGTTTTAAGGTGAAAGAAACTTGTTCCAGAACATGTCCAATGTGATGATATTACCTTGCATTCAGAAAATATACTGCTATACATGTTTATGTATCACCAGAGCTGACAATTCCAACAGAAAAGAAAGATCATTGTTCTTGCATATCTCCATAAAAAGTCCAAGTTTCGAGAAAGGCATTTCTTTATTGCCAGCCTCATTGAACTCAACTGGTACCTTTAATACATATAGGATATGAAGTTCTAAACTAAAAAAAAAAAATTAACAAAAAAATATTGAAGGTTTTCTCTTGGTAACTAAGTGTAATAAAAATATTACACAATATGACTTAAGCTCAAGAATCAAATGGAATTCTAAACAAAACTTACAGCAAATTCAAAAGGGAAATTTTACTTTCACTGTATTGCATAGTGTAAAGATCATTAGAAAAGACCAACTTTTGGAGACTAGGCCAAGAATATACCGACATAAATGTCGCTGACAAATATCAAAAGCTGAAGGATATACTACCTCTGCTGAGAACACAATTGGGTTATAGTTTTCCCCAACATTCAAGCTCTACACAACATATAAAGGTAGCCATTTCTAACTTCAGTTCTGGGTGCAAAGACGTCACTTGGCTACTCCATCTCCAATCTTTTTCCAAAGAAGGGGGCTTTTCTGTATAACTTGGGGCCATGCATGATCTTGGCATGCTGCAGTGGCTCAGACAAGGTGGTTTTCTCAGGGCTATTTTGTTTTGTTGTGATTAAGCATTAACACCACCTTTTCTTTCAGTTTTCTCTTTTTCATTTTCTGATTATCTATACTTCAACTGTACATAATATTTTTGCAGATTTATTCCCTATCTATAAAAGAAGTAGGCTGTAAAGCCAATGGGATTCCCATAAAGTAACAATACCATATTTCATAGATACCCTGATTATTATCTGCACTTGCAATCATGTAGAGACTAAGTGAACAGTACTGACATGCAATTTTGGAAACAATTCTTCAATTTAAGCATACATGAAATAATAACGAAACAGTCATGTGAAAACTTTCACAACCAGAACACTCGATCTTCAGTGATTCCTCTTTTGATAAAGTCTTCGAGTCCTTCATACTGAGAATTGTCACATGCCACATCAAGTAACTCCTTCATATACCATACATGGCACAAGTGTTGCTGCGACAGGCTTTGAGGACCTGTCCCACAGATATCTCCTTGATTCTCGCCACTTCTTCTGCAACCAGGACTGCCATCCCTGGATGTGATAACTCAAATGATCCTTTTGGTATCTGAAACATTGGTATGGATTTGATGAAATAAAGATGTGTTTGATGCAATGAAAGCAAATTTCAGCTACATATTGATATCACAGGACATCCCACACAGAAAATAATACATAATGGATGACACATAGCTCTTTCCACAAAGTCATTGTAGCCTTATGACTATTAGTGAGTGAGTATGGTTTTACCCCGCTTTTAGCAATATTCCAGCAATATCATGGCAGGGGGACACCTAAAATGGGCTTCACACATTTTACCTACGTGGGGAATCGAACTCGGGTCTTCGGCGTGACAAGTGAACGCTTTAACCACTAGGCTACCCCACCACCACCCTATAACTATTAAAGGGTTATGGTAAAGTATAGGAGTTGCAACACCCTGGCTGAGACAGCCAAGTACTGGTCACTGAATTCTCATCAAAACATCTCGTATCATCAAAAGCAGAATATATCAACAAGAAGGATAAGACTTATTTATTTTTCCAAGGCTGAAGCCATCAATGTCACTCATAATATATTGGCCTAAAAAGCAAGACAAACCAGTGGTTAATATTCTAAGCAACGTCCAGTGTTTCCGTTATCCAGGACTTTGACCAGTACAGAGTTAGAATGTCTAGTCTGTCGGTCATCGTGTCCAGCAAATTTTAAAATCAAGTTTCTTATTACCTCTGTCAATTATATTTCTCCTCGAAAAAGATTACATTTTCACAATGACATCGAGCTGTAGTCAAACAAAAAAATAGCAGTTTTGGAAAACCCCAGGCTAAAAATAGTGGCATTGACGCATTGCGATACCCTTTACATTTCTGTTTGGTTGTTAGGGTGTAAGGTATCGCGCACAATGAAAAAAGTGATCACTTCATCAGTAAAACTTACAAATGACCGGTATTTGAAATGCTAGCCGGTCACAATATCCAGTTGAAAAAATGCCAGCGAAAATACTGACATCGCATTCAAGGCAAGTATCCTTTTCCAAAGTGTGGGTCTTTTTCTTTAATACTTGAGTCATTCATGATATTGGCACTGGCAGGCTTTGTTGGGTTGGATCTAGACAATCACATTGCAAACATCAAGTCTGACAATGTGGGTGTCCTCATCGTACATAACAAACCTACTGCCACAACTGTAGCAAGTTTGTTAAGGTATGGATGTTGCAATCACCTTAGCGCCAAGATATCTTTGTACAACAGCTTCTTGATCCATTACCACCAGCATGGTGGTTTGGGATTAGTTCTAACCTGGAACCCGAGGACACATGTCAAGTAAGCACTACAATAACTGTAGATAGTGATGATGGGCAGAACGTACCTGTCTAGGGACAAAGTAGGGGGCATCGGTTTCTAACAGCAGTCTTCCTAGAGGGATGTGCTTGGCTACTTCATGAGTTGGTGTGGCAGAACGGAATGACACCAGGTTGGTGAGGCCGATGTACAGCTTAGGAAACTTGGTGAGCCACTTCTTGCACTGTTCATATGTGCCAGTGAAGCAGTGACAATGGATCTTGTAGTTTTTGGGAACAATCTGCAAGCCAAATTAGTATGCCATGTACATGAGTGAGTGAGTGAGTGAGTTTAGTTTTACGCCGATTTTAGCAATATTCCAGCAATATCATGGCTGGGGGACACCAGAAATAGGCTTCACACAAAGTGCCCATGTGGGGAATTGAACCCGGGGCATCGGCGTGACGAGTGACACATTAACCACTCGGCCACCCCACCGCCCTGGGGCCCGTTTCACGAAGCTCTCGTAGGCCTAAGATCTCGTAACTACTACGATATATCTTACGATACCACGCTAAGGGCGTTTCACGAAAGTATCTTAGTACTCTCGTTGTTACGAGAAAACTTACGGTAACTTTTAGCTATCGTATTGCGAACTCTTTTGCTGAGAAGACTTGAAAAGAACATGGTTTGCGAGTTACGTCCCTTTGTGTAAACAGACGACAACCCGCCGTACAATGGAGGACTTGAAATCAAAGGGAAGGGTGAGAAAAACGAATTTCTCGCCCTTTGAATTGGACATTTTAACGTCTGAAGTGGCCCAACACAGCAGCTATCTGTTTGGCAGATTTTCAGCAGTCATCACAGCTGCTGGCAAAAGCGTCTTTTGGAATGAGATCGCTGAAAAGTAAGTGATGATGGAGTCGATCTTTCTGATTTCAGCTTTATTAAATTTAAACGCAATGCTAAAAAAACCCACAACGAATAAACACACTCCTTAATGTTATGTGTAACAAGTGTCATAAAAGCAAATGATGTAATACTTTGACAAACATAACATCATAAAAGATAATGACAACCTCGCTATAGGGATTAGTGGGCGTGACAGGTTCTGGCGTCCTTAGATACAAAATGGCGATGGTGTCGGGTATATTACGATACATTTGAGAATTTATCTTGTTATATGAAATACCTTCACTTGCTGAACATAATTTCAAACTACTTGTGTTTATATTACAAAAAGATATCATCTTTCATTGTATTATGAACATGTTTTTGTTAATAGGATCAATGCAAATGCTAATTCCAGGAGGGATGGGGACGAAGTCCGTAAGAAATGGACTGACTTCAGGTGAGGAAACATTGATCTGTTCAAAACTGAACCTAAAGTTTTAGTTATTTATTTTCACAATGGAAGCTTAACTTATTTTCATGAGTAAATTTGTTTGACAATAACACAAAATTCAACACCAAGAACAATTTGATCAAAGCTTTAGGACAAGTTTAATTAATCTGCATTACAATTTGTAACATACTTTTTTCCCTCACTAAATACAAGTAATTAATTAATATGTAATGTACAAAAACCTTGCTACCAGTTATTTCACAAGGTAAACTAATATACATGATATAACGTATATGCCTTGAAAGAGGAAATATAAATATGAATTAGTTAACATACATGTATTCTTATTATGATACATTATGTTGATAATACAGTAATGGTATTATCAAAATTTCTTAAATTTGTCTGAAATATCATGTGAGTTTGTTGGAATGTGTCATGATCATTTATACACTGTGGTTTTTACCTCTGGTTTTTACCAAAAACTCAATCTGAATAAAATTAGTGCTAATATGTGAACCTTAATCAAAGATTTTGAATTCTCCCAGGTCCTTAGTTAAAAAAAAGGAAATGATCAGAAGGATGGAGATGAAGAAAACTGGTGGCGGTCCAAGCCCTCAACCATTGTCGGATGTGGAAGAAAGGGTATGAGAAACATTCACTAATTAGCTCAAAATGTGCTGAAAATGTAATTTTTAGAGTAAAAATGTAATTTTTAGAGTAAAATTGATATTTTATACTTATCCTGACTCATGCTCTTTTGCTTGTCTTCTTCTTCTTGCGAACATAGTGGAACACTTGTATCTCCTTATTTGAAGCTCCCTTCAAAATAAAATCACTAATTGGTACTCACCACGAGTTGCTCCCCTTTGTCTCCCCTGGCGGGAAAAGGTGTCGCCACCCTCTGGCCATGTGCTCCACTCTCTCCTGATTTAGCGAGCCCAACACTTGAATTTACAGGGAAATCCAAAGTGTTATGTGGGGAGGATGGGAGGGCTAACCTCATGAGTCAGGATAAGTATAAAATATCAATTTTACTCTAAAATTACATATTTTTCCTTATCCTGACTCATGCTCTTTTGTTTGTAGCATCCTAATGGAACGGAGGTGGGTAACAGAATACTTTGGATTTATAATTAGTGATTTTGTATAGATATACTGTAATATCTCCTACTACGGAACTTCATGAAGTCTTAGATTTAGGATGTTTCCTGTATAAAGAAAACCATAGGTTATATAAAGCCATTAAGGGGAATTACATTATGAATATATTGAACAATACATATAAATTATATATATATATATATAGGTGACTCTGATAGAGGCACTGAAATTGACTATATCCAAGTATATGCTTAAGGTAGAATACTTAAGCTGAACATATATACATAGCCCTAAAACTCCTTAGAGTTATAAGCTAGATGAGTATGTATAAAATACATATTAATCTTGTGAGGCTAATATTTTAAGCCCTCTGAGGGACTGTCAGTTGCTGGCGAGGACCAGTGGTCGAAATGGTGAATGCCAGAGACATCTTCTGTAGTGATGTCTCTTAGGTAGTGATTAGCAAATACCATGTTAGATTTCCAATAGCATCCTTCCATAATCGTGTTCAAGGAACAGTTACCGTGTAGAGGCGAGGGTAGAGGCCAGTGCCCTGATCTCATGTGGATTAGATGCTGTTGGTGGGTCCAAGCCTGCTGCCTTGTAGGCACGGAGAATGACAGTCCTTATCCAAATAGATATTATGGTCCGTGACACTTCTGTTTGATTCAGAGGCGATAATGGGATGAATAAGCGTTTGAGAAATCTTCTCCTTGTTTTGGATCGTCAGTGAAATAAACTTTGAGCTCTTACCGGACACAGTGATAGGTCTTGTGTATCTTGTGATCGAGAATAGAGGATAGCGCCCGGGATGTGGAATAATCTGTCTGGTTGACCTGGCAGTTGATTCTTTGCAATGAAATCCCATCTTAATCCGAGGTGCGCTGTGTTATGATTGTCATCAAACTGTATCCCTCGTAATCCAGAGCGTGAATTTCAGACATTCTTGCTGCTGTGGCTAGCGATAGCAGAAACAATGTTTTCTGTGAGAGAAATTCAAAGTTTGTCGATTCCAAGGGTTCATAGACCTCTTTCGTGAGGTGTTGTAACACTACATTCAGATCCCAAGCTGGAAGCGTGGAACTTCCGCTTTTGGTCCTCCAATCGAAAGCTCGTAGTAAGGCCAGTAACTCTGGAGATCTTGTCAATTTGACACCCGTTCTCATGGTGATTACAGAGCTAAAGCGGCAAGATATGTTGATATCGTTGAACCTTTTAAATGTTTGTTTTGGCGTAGGTAACACAAATAGTCTGCCACTTGAGGTTGTGAAGCCTCTCTTGCTGTAAACCCTTTCTTTGTTGCATAATTTTTTGAAACTGTGCCACTTGTCGTCGCCGTACAAGTTACGAGTTGAGTAACGTAAGGCAAAGCGTGACTGCTTTTGCCGCCCTGGCAGAATATCCTCTCTTGTTTAAACACATTTGTATACAGTCCATACGTGTAGTTGGAACATTGCTGGGTTTCCGTGCACTTGTTTGGTGTGAGGATGAATTAACAGGTTTGCGCTGGCTTGGGTAGCACCAGTGTTGGTTGACCGATTTCTTGAATTAGTATGGAAACCACGTTCTGGCCGGCCAGTAGGGCGACCAAAGTGAGTTGTAGGCTCTGTGTTTGTCTGATTTTCTGTAATACTTGAGGTATTATTGCTGGCGGCGGAAGCGCGTGACGCATTGAGGCCTTCCCATGATAGACTTAGAGCGTCCGTTGCCCAAGCTTGGGGGTCTGGGACTGGTGACACGAATGTCGGTAGCTGATTGTTGAATCGCGTGGCGAATAGGTCTATTAGCGGCGCTCCTAATTGCTTGATTATCTGTGCAAAAATTTCGGTTGATCATCCACTCTGTCGGTGATGGTAGATGAGGCGAGAGAAGCGTCTGCTAGTATATTTCTGGCTCCGGGAATGTGCACTGCTTTGACATGTAGATTTAGATCTTGTATTAAATCGAACAGTTGAAAGCTTAGGTTCAAAAGGTTCATCGATCTCGTTGAGCCTTGCTTGTTTATGTAGAACGCCACTGTCGAATTGTCTGTATGGATCATTAGGCCAGCATTTTGTAGAAATGTGCTCCAATGTAGAATGGCGTTGATTACAGCTTTCATTTCTAGACTGTTTATATGGAGTTTGCATTCTTGCTGATTCCATAACCCTGATATCGCGGTGGTTGGTGAGATGAGCTCCCCAACCTTGGAGTAACGCGATCTACATACAGATGGGTTTTGTATTCCTGCTCTGCTAAACAAATCCCTTCGCAGACATTCGATTTCTTGGTCCACCATAGTAGATGTGGTCTGAGATGTTTTCGTAGACTGAATGGTTGTACATCGTTGAGATGTGCGTTGATGAGGACCTGTAGGGGCGTAACTGTAATCTGCCTGTGACAGTCATGTCTTGGGCTGATGTGAGAAGACCTAGTAGGCTCTGCCATTGTCGCAGTGGTAACGGAGAGAGTAGAGCTGGTGGAATGGTCTGTTGTATCTTGAGCCAACGGTCTTCTGGTACCATAATACGGTTGCGATTTGTGATGAATCGAATACCTAGGAACTGTAGGTCTTGGCGATGGTACTAGGTCCGACTTGCGTAAGTTTACTAACCAACCTAGTTGTGTTAGTAGCTTTATGATGTAGTTTAACTGTAGTTTGAGAGCGCAGTGGATCTTGATCTACTTGTATCCCCGTCGTCGAGGTAAAACGCTCGTGTAGCCCTTTGACGATGTAGAAATTTGATAATCGGTTTTCGTTATCCTCGTGGAATAGCCAGGGGCTGATGATATTCGAATGGGAGTACTTTCCACTGGTAATGTAGCCCTTCTAGAGTAAATCGTAGGTATTTCCTGGAATCGGGATGAATGGG